TCCTGTAATTGCCTGAACAACAGAGAGAAGAAGGGATTGAACTAGGGGGGTAGTCAGTTTGCGCTGAACAGTGCTGTCAGTCTAACACAGGGAACAAGGTGATATGAGGGGAAAGTGAAATGATGGCTCATGAGTGTGCTGCTGCTTCTCATTGTCCAGTCAGCAGGCTGGGAGAGAGAGGGAGGGAGCTATTGGAACAGGCTGTACTGCTTACCTACACTGGCAAACCACGGCCTGGTTGTTTTGTCTGTCAGGGGTGTCTTTATCACCAAACAGGCTGAAGAGAGTTTCAAACCCATAGGCAGGTAAGAATGTGCACTTACACGCACTTCAGCTGGGTATTTTACTGTTTACCTGGAGCTCTGCTTTGAATATTCTTCTATTGGTAAGGGGAGGCTTTGTTGGCATCTGCATTAAAGCAAAAACTCTGCTTAATGTGCCTTTAACCTAAAACACTCTTTTCCCCAGGCATCAGGAACTGTTAATGGAACCCAATGGCAGGATATACCTATAATAACACTCGTGTGTATAGATCTATTTTCATTTTTTTATAGCGCCAAGATATTTCTTTTATCGGAGTGCATAGAACCTCAAAGATCAGTCCCTGCCTGCAAAAGAGCGTACAGTCTAATGTCTCCAACACTCTATTGAAATCACATACATGGTAGTGCCAACGTATTCAGATGTCAGTCAATATACCCGCAAGTTTTTTATTTTGTTTTTCAAAGGAAACAGGATCACTCTGAGGAATCCCATGCAAACACGATAAAAAAAACATACAACGTCCATGCAGGTAGTGTCCCTGATTGACAATGAACCCAGGATCCCAGGCACAGACTATCCAAACCATCTGAGGAAGATCAGCCATAGATATGTTCCAACTGCCAAAAAATCTTTCTGAGGCCCCTTTCACACTATCCGTGTACGGATCCCCTCCTGATCAGAGCAGTACAGATCAGATGTCACCGCTGTGAGATTCGTGTCCATCTTGCGATGGAGGAAAAACTGAAATGACCGGACCCCATGCCAGTCTACGGGAAATCGATGTAAAAGGACATGTGTCCGTGAGCAGCTAAAGCCTTACCCTGTGCTCAGCCCGCCATACCCCAGCTGTAAGATACATGGAGTATTACATCTCATTTTGCAACAGTCCATAATGATACTGGTACATAAGTGGCAAATTACTGAACATAATAAAACCCTTAACCTAAATCTAAATATAAGCTTCATGCTCATCCTAACCCTTAAACCCAACTTCAGCCAAAACATTTTACTTCATTTTGGATAGAGTGGGGAAGGGTTGGAGTTTCAGGTGTTTATTTCCATTTGTATTCTCAATAGGGAGATTTCCCTTCGCTTCTTGTTTATTTTTAAAATTTTTATCAGAGCGAATAAGGGGTAGAACTTCTGACAATGTTTTTATGTTTTGTCTGTACCTTTACACCTACTATTTCTTGTACACATGGACTGCGGACATGGATGATGGATTGCGTCGCAGGGACAGGAAGGGAAGGAAACTCTCTCCAATGGGGTTCACAGACACAAATAAAAACCAATTAGAAATCCAAGCTCTTCATATCTCCGTCTTAACCCAAAATAATAACATTAATTCTATCTCTTTTTCATAACTTCACGGTAACCCACCAGTGAGACCCCGGATGAAACGATAGCTGTTTGGGGTCTGCTACAGTTTACAGAAATTCACAGAATAAAGCTAGTCCTTTTTTTGCATACCCTGTATGGCCAAAATATTGTGGACCCTGACTACCACGTCTATATGAGCTTCTGGACATCTTATTCCAAAACCATGGACATTAATGTTGGAACGTCTTGCACAGCCTCACATAGGAACTCAAGCACACAGTCAGATATGCATGCTGCACATGGCTTGCCTAAAACAGGAAGGAAGTCACAGCTTTATTATCTACCTTATTCAATACAACAGAGTATATATCATAGATATAACAGAACACTGCCATCTAGTGAACAAAATGTATACTGCATTAGTTGATGCAATAGGCACAATGTGTATTCTAACAATTAATATGGAGTTGGCTCCCCATTGCATCTATAACAGGCTCCACTCTTTTGGGCAGACTTCCCACAAGATCTTGGAGGGTGTCTGTGGGAATTTGAACCCATGTAGCCAGAAAGACATTTGTATGGTCAGTTAGTGATGTTCAAGAAGATCTGGTTTGCAATCGACATTTCAATTTATGCCAAAGATTCAGTAGGTTGTGGTCAAGGCTTTGTGCAGGCCACTGAAGTTCCTCCACACCAAACTCATCAAACCATATCTTTATGGAGCTGGCTTTGTACACAGGAGCACAGTTATACTGGAACAGAAAAGGGCCTTCATCAAACTGTTGCCCTAAGGTTGGAAGCACACAATTGCCTAAAATTACTATGTATGCTGTAGCATTATTGGTACCCTTCGCTGGAAACACTTGAATTCAGTTATTAGGAGGGGTATCTAGAGGTGTCAGAAAACATTCTAAAATGCGTCACAGGGCATATTGAAGGCAGCATTCCGGATTACATAGAAGCAGCATGCTGGATGATTGGTTCAGAAAATGCTATATGCTGCAGCATGTAATCAATTGGTGTCTCCAATGTGGGAGTTATAAACAGGAAACAAAAATCTTATTGCCCTCCATCAATTTAGTTGAGCTCACTGATGAAGAAACTGTAACTACAATTACATTCTGAAGATGTCTAAAGATTTGACCATAGTTTAAAGAAGTTCAAGCAGATGTTAAAAAGATAAGGAAATTATAATACCATTAAATACATTCTTAAATACAACTAGGGTATGTACCTGGATTTGTCATCATACATGTTACCTATATTCCCGAATGGCAGAGGGAGGGGCAACACTAGAAGCCAAACAGGCTCTGCTGCATGCACACATGCTAACTAGGAACATGAGTGAGCAAAGAGGTAACCTCATCAGTGTTGCTGCTGCTTCACTAAATCAGCAGGCTGAGGGTGTGTTCTTGCTGCTGCTGTACAGTAAAGTTTGAGGACCTGACTGCACTATCTGACAGGGGTAACTAGATCACAAGACTGGCTGAACAGGATTATTAATCCTTTGGGAGATAAACCCGTTCCTACAAAAGTATCCCGACTCTGTATTTATGTGCCTGCTTTGAATTCAACTTCACTTTTTCCAATATGGGTTATTTCAGGCAGTGTCTATGGGTTGCTGCAGACACCCTTGGGGTATCCTTTTCAGGGTATCAGCTATCAGGGTTTGTAAGGTCTATCAGTATTGTGTCCAGACATTGACACACATACTTGGGCTATACCAGGGTGTAGATTAGTGTAACAACGTTTAAATAAATAATTGTTCATTGGTTAGGTTGCACCCACACATCAGATCACCATCTAACTATGAGTCTTTAGACCAACCTTACATGGGCAGCAGTCTCTTTGAGGCAAGAATGTGCCCATCCTCTGTGACCCTCTACCCAACTTGCCCTATGGTACACCTTCCAAGAGGAGATCATTACGTTTTCTCCTTAGAAAAAGGATCAGCGTCCAGTCGCAGATAGATTTTCCAACTTTTCTAAGGATCTATGAGTGATCAGGAGCAGTGTGGGCACTCAGAACAGCTCCATAGCCATGCCCACTTAAAGTGTATGTCCATCCAAGTGAATTTAGTTTTGGATAGATTGGTGAAGAATCAGAACTCCTTTTGGCTTTTTCTGCTATCCGGTGCTCCATCAATAAAATTGCCACTCACCTCCTTTTCCAGTGACAACAGTTTCCCCAGAGAAGTGAAGGAAAATCTTCAACAGGAACACACACAACAATAAAAAGCTGACAGGGTTCAAGTCTTCCCTTGGACATACACTTTAACACCCAAAAGCCATGATTGGTCACTCATTTGGCAGAAATATCAGGCAGATCATCTTTAATCTTCATTATCAGACAATTTGCCACAAGTACAATAATACAAATGTGTTTACAAGTCCATTGTACTAATCTACTGGCTCGCTACTTGCAATAAGAGGAAATAATATTTTTGAATTATTTCTTTGTGGCCATGGTGGTCTATACACTCTTTCTTCTGATATTGTATGTCAATTGTACTAGAGACTGCCGCCTCATTCATTTTTCTGTTTTAGGGTTTACAGGCCATTAAGAGTTAGATTTTGTACCTTTAACTGTACTGCAAGTCCCAGCATTCTCTACCAACACCAACACCACATTAGTGCCAAAATGTCTCTAACTTACGAGGACACTTCCAAGATTTTACCCCCTATCTATTTTTGTTCCTGGAAATGTCCCTGATTTTGAACACTGCAAATATGACAATAATATCTGTTTCTGGTAAATTAGGATTTTTACTATATTACTTTGGCTTTTAAGTTCGTACTTTAAAATTTGGGTATTTATACTTCAAAGGAAATATTTAATAATCCAGTGTAGTGGATATGCCTTCAATGGATTGTGATGCTCTCGGTTTCTCGGAACTTAGCTTAGATGAACAACCTCAGAAGCAAAGTTGTCCCAGGAATTTTAGACATTCTGGTAACAATTACCAAAGTTTAGGATTGCCTACATAACTTTAGTTTGTAAATTCACGTGGACAGTCTTTAGGTTGGAGGACCTCCAAATGATCTCTGTTCACTATCGACTTGAAGGTTCAGCTTTCTCTCTTGACACTTTTTTCCTACTCTTTGATGCCATTTTTCTCTCTGGAACTGATTTAAAAGTCATTACTAAAAATCATGCTGTGCAAGTTTGTCTCAAGATGTTTCCGTCTAAAACTTGCAAATCGCTCGTGATTGATTCGCAGAATGAATGTAATCACAGCAGCAGAAAGTTCAAAGCAAAAGTTTCTGATGCAAACTTCCGCAAGACTACAGACACCAGCTGCGCATCTTGTGCCCACACAAAAGAGTATTCTGTTTTGCATCTATGCGCCCCCCGAAATAAGGGTCCCCCATCTCCTGTGGCTCCCACCCGGCTCCTGTGGCCCCTCAAGCACTCACCTCTGTGTAAGAGAAGGGGTAGCAGACTCAGCAGCAGCATCTTTTGTGGAAGACTCATTGTGAAACACAGAGCAGAAAACCTGGAGGGTGCTGAGTCTCAGCTGAAATTTGGCTGGGTAGGAGGAGCTGCAGGGATGCCTTGGAGAGGAGGCAGGGAAAGCCAAAGAACAGCAGAAGAGGGGACTGCCCTTCTCCAAATGTCTCTTCCCTGAAAGCAACCAGGAGGGGGTCTGGGCAAGCAGGAACAGTCTGGGTTTCTACAAAGCTGAAGATGAAATCTAAACTAAAAAGGGCATGATATAAGGAAGGCTTTGGCAGGCAGGGTAGCCCCACCACCAGCTGCATATACTTACCTTTACCTTACTGGTGAACCTGCTGCTTTGCCCACTGTGCACTGTATTTCCTTCCTCCGAAGGAATCACTACAGGACACAGCAGTGACTTAGGGGTCAGGGGATGGAGCCACATGGGTTGGTTGGGGATGCAGGCATCTGACACTCCTGGAAGCATCGAATGCTAAAGAGTATGATGGAGACTGGAGTGCTTGAACAAAGTGAACGTAGAAGACATAGACTACTAGTGAGATAAATACTTTTTAGGCGAATTAAAAGGTCGCTTTAAAAAAAAAAGGTACATTTACGAAGCACAGCAATGTCTCCCAATGAATGGTAAGATGTAACAAAAAGTAACGGGAAGAGGAGACAAAGTCACATGACCTGTCAAATACATGTTTCTATCCTCTCTTCCTATCATGGAGTGTTGCTTGAAGCAATATACAGGAGGCTCCACACCACGGCCTGCATGTCATAAAAAGAGTCCAGCAGTGTCCAACAAATAGGGCTATCCTCACCCTGTTATAAATGGCTTCCTCTCTGACTAGCACGCCACCATCCAGTCCAGTGTCCTTTTAGGGATGTCCTGATACCATTTTTACAAGTACTTTCCCTCAGGTATTTGTCGATACCAATTACCGATACTTTTTCTTAAAGAGACATGTGACATTTTTTCTAAAACAATACGGTCTAATGATTTTAGGGCAGTTTCTTACCAGTGCTGCTTACAGACCTCACCAGAGCTGCGTACAGACCTCACCAGAGCTGCGTACAGCTCTCACGAGAGCTGCGTACAGATCTCACCAGAGCTGCGTACAGATCTCACCAGAGCTGCGTACAGATCTCACCAGAGCTGCGTACAGATCTTACCAGAGCTAGCTGCGTACAGATCTCACCAGGCTGCGTACAGATCTCACCAGAGCTGCGTACAGATCTCACCAGAGCTGCGTACAGATCTCACCAAGGCTGCGTACAGATCTCACCAGAGCTGCGTACAGATCTCACCAGAGCTGCGTACAGATCTCACCAGAGCTGCGTACAGATCTCACCAGGCTGCGTACAGATCTCAGCAGGGCTGCGTACAGATCTCACCAGGGCAGCGTCCAGATCTCACCAGGGCAGCGTCCAGATCTCACCAGGCTGCGTCCAGATCTCACCAGGCTGCCTACAGATTTCACCAGGCTGCATACAGATCTCACCAAGGCTGCAGGCAGGTGCTGGGCTGAAAGGGTGGGTAGTGTGCTGAACAGGGCCGGTTCCAGTCTTGTGCCAGGCTGCAGGCTGCATGTGTGGTGTGGGGCTGCGCTGCGCTGGAAAGGAGGAGATATATGACTGGGTAGGCACTGTCAAAGACAGGAGCGAGCTTGGAGCAGTGGCTACTTTACAACACACACAGGGACCATGGGGAACATAAGTAGCAACCCTCCAGAAGGAAGGACAGTGTCAGCATGAATTCAGAGGTGATTTGAGGATCTACAGCCAAATGATGGGGGAATTTATCAAAACTGGAGCAGACAGAATCAGGAGCAGTTGCCCATGGCAACCAATCAGCATCTCTCTTCAGTTTGCTCAGGTAAGATCTGAAAATGAGACAGAGAAGCAGATTGGTTGCAGTGCAAATCTGCTCCAGGTTTTGTCTGCTCCAGTTTTGATAAATTCCCTCCAGTTTTGTTAATAGTTAGGGTACTTGAATGCATTTTTAAGATTTAACTCCTGGGTTTAGTGTCACTTTAAACTCCCTCCAAAGATATCGTCTACCTGGAGCTATTATGTTCTTCTCATGTCTGTGTAGGTTTCCTCCGTGTAGTCCATTTTTCCCCACAATCAAAAAGCATACTGATTAGATCCTGCTCTTAGAGTGTGCAATTTGTACTCTGGAACCTTAGGCTTCCTCCTGAGGTTGCTAGGGGTTCATTGAGCAATGAGCAGTGGGGAAATGATTCCCCCCTACAATGACCACCAATGCTAGGGGGGGCAATTTTCCTCTGCCCACCAATGTAAGAAGTGACTTCTACAATGACCACTAATGTTAATGTATAAACAATTTTTTTCTGTGATCGATGTTCATTTCATTTCAAAATCATCACTAAAATGTTTTTGTTGTACAGAGCATGGAGGAGTGTTACAAAAGATCTGACCCAAATGTGGAATACATCACATTCTTTAGTCTTTTATTTAAAAGTTTCTACAACTGACTGATCAAGCTAATGTACCATGAGTTGCAGGTATAATCACATTTAGCATCGGTTCCCCTAAACCCGAAAATAATTTTAAGGGTTCCCCTAGTGTAAAGAGGTTGAGCAAGACTGGCTTAGAGGAAGCAACTTGTGAGCTGAAACCCCAATTATCCACAGATTTGCTGTTGTTGTCTCTGCCGGTGGCAGCTACCTCGTTATACTCAGTGACCCTGAAAGAAGAATGAGCATCGTCTCTGTGTGAGGACGAAGTGTGCAAACAGTCCGGCTCCTGGCCAGGATTCTGGACTTAATTCACTCAAGCTGTTTCCATGTGTGTGACATCAGCAGTGCCCTTGGCTGAAAGGCAGCCTGAAATTCACTATCTGTTACCCTCAACTGATTTCTAGATTTTCGCCTGGCATTCGTGATTACCGTTTTGGTATGAACAAAGCAATTAGGCCTGGTCAGCGAGTCTGGCTGGTTTAGTCCATGCAAGGAAGCAGGATTTCACTTTGCTGATGAATCTGATTCACTCAATTGGTCTGGTAATATACCAAATGGCCTCCTATCAGCTCACCTTGTCAAACCACCTCAAATAGAAGACCAGCTCTCTCCAATCCCTGGGAGCTCTGGCTCTGGTAGGTTATAGGGTGAATATCCCTGCCCATGTGATAAAAGTGGCCATACAAGACGCAATACATTCCCTTATTCGGTGTTATTCAAATAAGAAAGAGCACTGATATCAAACAGGTGAAGCAGATTTTCCATTATTTGCTCATATTTAATGTTTTTCCTACAGCGCTAAAGTGAAAATGTTTTACACTGTTGTTATTTTCTTTCATTTATACAGTATCATAAATTTTCTACTTCATTATTATATGTAGTGCATTCAATACCTCATCTAGGCTATCTACTTTATTCTCCTCTAGGCTATCTACTTTGTCCCCCCTCCCACCCCCCATGCACATGAAAATATAATCATATACAAATATTAAAAAATTAGTTAAACCAAATTTATAAAATTGAGTTGTCCACATATTGAGAGAAGTAAACACAATGAGAAATAACTGACACTACCAAAAACGTGTCCACAGAGACACAACCTGTACCATAATAACCACCAGAAACATATCAGCAGAAGTAAAATTAGTACCATACTGACCACCAGAAAACATATCCATAGACACAATCAGTACCGTACTGACCACCAGAAACATATTTGTGGAGACGCAATCATTGCTGTACTGACCTATCAGAAATATGTAAGTAGAGACACAACCATTGCTGTACTGAACATCAGAAACATGTTGGTAGACACAATCAGTACTGTAATGATCATCAGAAACTGTATTGTATTGAGCTTTAGAAACATGTCAGTAGAGATACAATCAGTAGTGAGCTGACCATCAGAAACATGTCCACAGAGACACAATCAGTACTGTACTAACCATCAGAAACATGTCTGTAGAGCTGCAATCAGTACCATGATGATTATCAGAATCATTTGCAATCATTATCTTTGCAAAGACACAAGTAGTACTTTACTGATAACCAGAAACATGTCTGCAGAAGCACAATTAGTACTGTAATAACCATCAGAAAAATGTCAGTAAGCCATAATGACCATCGGAAACATGTCAGTAGACCATACTGACCTCCGGAAACATGTCTGTCAATAGACCATACTGACTATCAGAGACATGTCAATAGACCATATTGACCGTCAGAAACATGTCAATAGACCATACTGACCATCAGAAACATGTCAATAGACCATATTGACCATCAAAAACATGTCAATAGACCATACTGACCATCAGAAACATGTCAATAGACCATATTGACCATCAGAAACATGTCAATAGACCATATTGACCATCTGAGACATGTCTGTAGAGACACAATTAGTAGAGTACTGATACAACCGGAAATATGTCAGCAGAGACATAATCAGTACTTTGCTGACACATTCACAACCATATTAATTGTACAATAATCTGGTTTCTCGACATGATATAGTATGTGGCTGGCATGATCACATTTAATGACTCTAACAAGAAAACTGTTTTCAGCCCCCTGTTTTGGCCAAATGTTGGACTTTTTTTTATTAGGAAAAGCTCCGACACCTTCTGGTAGTGTTGCAGCTTGCCCACAGCTTCTTTCCTGTAGTACCAACAGTACCTGGCAGACCTTTCTGTCCAGAATCCATGGTGCTGGCAGTACAGCATGCAACCAACTGGCTCACTTTTGCATATAAGTCACTGCCCAGTACCCTGCCTGCATGCATGGGCCATCCCGCACCCTGGTGACACAACGCTCTTGATGTGATTGAGCACCAGCTTGAAGTGGGAGCGCAAGAAGTATGGAAGGAAATAACTTATCTGTGCCCCGCTAATAATGGCCAATAGATTTCTACCGCAGGAGCAACAGTCTTCAGAAGTGGGGTTCTAAGAGGCTGTAAGTAATAATAGCAGCAACATTTTGTCATGGCTTTGGTGACTGGATGCCACCCCTGGCAGCTCTTAGTGCACTAGGGCTAGGCCATAGGCTATGCGGCCTTGGTAAAAACATGTCTCTGAGTACATCTCTGCTATACATGCACAGTTTCCTATTTTCTATC